CCTGCCGTGCGGGATAAGCAGGGGGCCGGGGGCAGAGGCGTCCCCCCCCGGTGCTGCTTGGCTTACTGCCCGCAGCGCCTTCGGTCTCCGCCGGCCCCGCCGCCGCCCCGCTGGGAAACGGAGAAGGAAGCGGAGGAGGGGGGAAGGTTTGCAACGTTGGGGGTCGCTGCGGTTTTGTGGGCTGCAGAGCTGGGCGTGGGGCTGTGCCTTGTAAACGGTGACAGCCCAAATGCCTAGTGTGTAAATCCAGGACTTGATCCATAACCAGGTTTGAGAGGGTTAACTTGGATGTACAGCTCATCCCTTTAGTGCTTGTAAGATGTCTTCATGGATATGAAGGAGTTTGTTTTTTCCGGTGAAACTTTCTGGTTGTCACAGGCTTGTAATGAGTCTAGCTTTATAAGTATGCCTGTTTGGGTGTTGAAATCTAAACTAACTATATCAGTTTTAGTGGGCTTTTGGTGCTCAAATGAAATAATTTAGTGAAATTGAAGTGGAGAAGTAAAAACAGGCTTGCATTCAGGAGCCTAGTGACAGAACCTGAGATAAATAAAATCTGTTACAGCTCTAAATGTTGAAGACAGTGCATAGCAGTGCTTGTGTTTATACTTGTTCAAGAGGAAGACAAACTGACCCTGATCACATCAGAGATAAAACCTGGAGCACATAAACATTTCTTAACAAGTAGAGGAGTGCCTAGGTGACATTCCCTGAATGGTAGCAGCTTGAGCAATGATAGAAAACCGTGGAGCAGAACACTGCTAAGAAACTTTGGAGAAAAGCCAGATCTCTTTTCTTTCCGCGGGGCAGAGTACAGCATTACTTGTCTGTAACGTTATTTATAAGTTTAGTAGCTGTGTGTGAGAGGAGAACGGTTTTAGTTGCTTTTTCTTCCTTTTGAAGGGAAGGGAATCTAGCCTTTGAACTTGCATCTATCTTGTGGTTTTGGGCAGGTGTTGTTTAAACAAGGTTGTAACATAAAGTAGTGGTTTTCTAAATTGTGCCCTGGTTCTGAGTTACAGATTGCGTATATTACAGATATTGCCAGTCATTGAAAAAGAGGGTAAGGACAAAGGCTACACTGAAATGATTCTTGGGTTTTTAACCTAGTTCTTCAGGAACTAATTCCATATGTTAAGTGTAGTTTATGGCATGCATAGCACTTGACACTGCTGAGCATGGTTATTCTGAATGCTAAATACTGTTGCAATGTCCAGACCTCTTAAAGGAACTCGGTATGTAGTATAGTGATACAATACAGTTATAAACAAAGACTGTTGTGCCTGTGCTTTGGCTCCAGATTGCAAATGGATGTATCTGGAACGGCTAAAGCGATTACAGCTCCTTCTTTTCTGCTGTTGATTATTGCCCACACAGCAGGCCTGGCAGGGTAGGTGGGTCATGGATCTGTCCCTGTGCCACTGCAGTTTACAACCCGGTGCGCTTACGTCAGCTGAAGTAAGCGATAGCTTATGTTAATGTTGCAGACTGTAGATCAGGGTGTCCAAAAGTGGAACTGGAAACTGCCTCTTCCAGTTCAATCTGCCTGCAGGTGTGTGTCAGAGCACCAATGTTAACAAGACTCTGGGCAGGAGCAGGCTTTTCGTGGATGGCCGTCACGATTTAAGACGCTTCCTCCCCTTGCCCCTCCCTGCCTTACTGCAGGAGATTACTGCTCTTCTGCTGGGAACAGCAGAGCAAAAAGCATGCTCAGGCCTCACCTGCTCTGCCTGGCCAAGTGGTGCAAACCCATCATTACTGCTCATTTAATCTGTGACTTTGGGCTGAGGTGGATGTGTGTTGCACTTGGCTGTCCCTGCCATACAAATGGGAACCCCTGACAAAAGAGTGCATCTTTGAAAGGAGGAACATCTCAAGTCACTGCAGTGCAAATCTGCCAGCATCTGAGGGTTGCTGAGGTTTCTTAATCTAATGGACTTCAGCATAATTTGAATACTTCTTTTCTTAGCCCCACTTAGCTTTTTCCTTATTCAGTCATGGAATCTAAATATATTAAGATTAAACTATGCCGCCTACTTCAACGAATGTGCTCCTTTTAACAGAGCAAGTGATCACTTTTATCTGGTGGGGTATGCCCAAACTGGGATTGGGGGACTGGCTATGCTCCCTTCTGCCTTTGTTGAAGAATCTTTAATTAGAATTTAATTGACAACTTGGATTTAATTCTCATGCCCACTTTAGCATTACATATGTAACAGTCATGCTACTTGATAGTATCAGTGGCGAGTTATCAGCGAAACAGGTATGAAATAAAGATATATAAATTCAGGTATGTTAAGTAAGAACTTGCTCTTACCTAATCACTGCTTTGTTATACTTCCCCCATTTTAAAAGTGCCCAAGTGTGGTGGGCTTTCGGCTTTGCTGGCATAGCTCATAAGGCCAGGACTGGCAGCAAGTCTCAGCAGCTGAACTGTGCAGGCTTATTCTAAGTGAAACTTGATGACTTTTTTGGGATTAGAGAGAGGAAGGATTTTCTTTTCCCTTTCCTGTTCTCCTGTCCCAGTGTGTGGGTTGACATTCACAGAAACACTGACAAACCCAGTCACTGTTTTGCACAAGTTACATCTCGTAGTACTTGGGTATTTCTGAATGAAGTTTTGATGCGAGGCCTTGCTGGCTTCATGTGAGAGTCGCGTTTGCCCTCTGGGAAACAGAGGGGTACATGCATGCAGAAGAAATTATTTTGCAGCACTGTACTTTGGAAACTTTCTAAGATATTCTTCAGTGTTTGCTTTGCTTTGATCATCTGAGGTAGCATTAGCAACAAAAGCCTGTCACTGTGACCGCTTACTTTGCCCCTATTTGCACTTGGCCAATTAAATAGGAGAAATGTGTTACATTTTCTGGCTCAGAAGGGCAGCTTTTTATTGTAATAAGTAGTCTATGGGAATGTTTATGTCAAGGATGACTCTTATTTTCATCTGCTCCTGTTTGAGTCTGACTGGGACAGCATAGGCTGTGTTTTACTTTCAGAGAGCCAGTACTTGGTACATACGGAAGCCTTACTGCTGCGCGATAGAAAAGTGGTGGTGGATCTAAGATCCAATTTTCCTTTTATCTGAGCTCTCAGATTTACTGAAATCTATTCTCCGTGAGGCTGCTCTAAATGAAAGAACACAAAAATCAATGCATTTGCAATGTACTTTGGGCTCTCTGGGGTGGTGGGGTTTTGTGTGTAATCCTGATCATGAGGGGACTGAAAGAGTTTAATTTAAGAAAGTTCTTACAACTCAGTTTAAACAATTCAGATCATCATTTATTTATATACTTTTAGAAGTTTTCTCAAAGATTATGTGAGATCAAGGCCTTGATTATGTTCTTGCAGTGAGGTTAATGTGAGATGTTCTGCAGCTGATGGTGTTAACTTTGTGTGAGTGCAGTAAAATCTGGGTAATGTTAACTGTTTCTGTTACAGGTCGGGAGTTCGTAATCCCTTCGCTGGCACACAGGTTCATAGCAGAGATGGTGGATTTTTTTATTCTGTTCTTTATAAAGGCAACCATTGTTTTAAGTATTATGCACCTCAGTGGAATAAAGTAAGTTGAACAGTTAAATGCTTTGTTATACATAGCTTTGAGCTCTTTGTGCTCTTTGAGGTGTTGTGACATACATATGGTTTGCTTATGCGTATGGTGGGACTTAATAACTGTCAGAAGTTGAGGAAGAAGCACCACTAGGTTAACCTCCTTTTAAATACTTCCTGATTGGGGGTCAGGAAACAAATAATTTGTACAGGTGTCTCCATAGGCTCACAAACTCCTTACTAAAGAGAGATTAGACTTGCATTCTTATTTCTGGGGTGCCATAGCAAGATTTTTTAAAAGTCCTTTAAAATTGTCAAAGAAAAAATGACAAATACATTTGTTTCTTTAAACAGCCTTTAACACTGTACTGGATCCAGTTGGGATGGAGTTAATTTTCTTTGTAGTGTCTCCTGTGGTGCTGTGTTTTAGATTTGTGGCCAAAACAACACTGACCCACAACAACAACAAAAAAATCCAATCCTGCATGTCAGATATGTATGTACTTTTAAAATATAGCCTGATTGCTAGGAATGCTACCATGCTGGAGTATCGTTAAGCATCAGGTCTATCGACTATGCACTAGACTGAAAGATTCCGCATTTGGCATTCTTATACTCGGATGTAATCATTTATTTCACAAACGGTTTCTTCTTTGTCTGCCTTGTTAACTGTAGGCACCTTATTCCATAGCTCACTTAGTTTCCTCAGTGTTGGGTTGGTGCAATCAAATATTTCAGTCTGGTTAGGAGGTGAGAGCTTGGTGTAATCAGTAATTCCATGACTGTACAAACCCATTTCAGAGTCTTGAGTTTTCTGCTAAAGAACCTTGCAAATGTTGACTGACTGTAAACCGATACTGTATGGATAACATCTTTCAGACACCTTAAACTGCTGCTCGAAAGGTGTGTGGAAGAGGGCGAAATCCAAAACAATAAATGTGTCAATGTAAATGAACAGTGGTCTTTATTCAGATAAGCATGCAGTTAAAATGCCAAATTCTCAGTTCTGTTAGGTTGCCGAAAGCTGCAGCTCTAACCCGACAGCTTGTATTTCCAGCTTGTTTCCACGTAGACTGAGAATGACACAAAGTGAAGTGCTGGAACAATGGGGAACAACTATATGTGTACTACTTCTGTAAAGTAGTGAAGGTGATGGAAAGAGAGGGAAACTTTTTCAGTCAACTTACAGTGTATTCAATATTGCTACTTTTGCAAGAGGAAATAAGTTTCTTACAAGTAACTTCAGAGAAACATCGTGGGGTTTTTTTGCTTGCAAGATAAGGTGTGCTTGAGGGTAGGCGAAGGACTTGTCATGGAAAAAATACATCCTCGCAGGCTCAGGACAGAGACTTCAGGCCAAGGTTGTGTTGAAGGGAAATGCAGGTTGTGCCATGCTGTTTTCTTAATTCCTTATCTTTTTCAATCCTTAAATCTAAATGAAGAGGAGGGCAAGTACTACAAACACAGGTGGACCATTTTTAAATGGGACTGTACATTTCTACATGAGTAGTAATTCTCACTGAGATGGGCAAGTGAAAAGTCCTTGCCTCAATACATGTTGCAAGTGCGTCCATTCCAGGTAGAGTTTATCGTGTGAAAATAGACTATAGACTCCAAATGGATGCTTAGCGCATGTTTGTTAGGGTAAACAGCTGAGGTTTCAGTTGCTTTAAGTTAAAAACTTCCTCTTGCATGCCAAGGTGCCTGCCTCTACAAGAGTGTGTGTGGTCAGCAGTAAAGACTACTGAGAATGAAGAACCCTGACCATGCCAGGGACACCAGGTCTCCCTTGTTTAGGGAGACTTGCAGCTTCTCCCTTCATAGAGAAGAGTGCTGCCTTTTCCTCTTCCTCGAGAGTTCCTGTGAGGAAGAGACTGGGATGCCTTCCATTTATACAGTGAGATGATCACTTGCAGAATCTCTTCTTTAATTTTCAGAACAGTTCTGCAGCTCCCTACCCAGGGCCAGCATTGTGCGAAAGTAGTAATAAAGAATGGTCTTTTTGTAATGAAAATGATGAAACAAACTAAGCAGCAACTCAGAAAGAAACCTACTGTTGTGAATTTTAGTGGCTTGTTTAGTATCAGAGAAGCTGAGGAGCTTTTGTTTTTTTACTAATGCCAAAGCTGAGTGAGTGAATTCCAGTACTAAAAGCGTAACATTGGTACTAGAAGGATGGTTTTGAAGTTCAGTCTTATTTTATACAGGGACATCTCAAAATTTGCCATGCATTACATCATAGAAGAAATAGATGAAGATACATCCATGGAAGATTTGCAGAAAATGATGGTGGTAGCTCTCATCTACAGGCTATTAGTCTGCTTCTATGAGGTAACTACTCATAAACATCAACTTCTGGAATTAATAGTTGTCAGTTTTTGAATAAACGTTTAAAAAAATTCTGTCACCGTTGGTCTATAAAGTATATCCTCTTTATAGTCTTTTGGATTATGTTGAAGCTTGTGACTTTCACACAGTTTTGACAAAAACCAAGTTTGCTAGACCAAGCGACGGCGGAACTGAAATAACTTTTCTTTTACAGATAATCTGTATCTGGGGAGCGGGTGGAGCAACCCCAGGGAAATTCTTGCTTGGACTGCGAGTCGTGACGTGTGACACATCCGTACTCGTTGCGCCCAGCCGCGTGTTGGTCATTCCGTCCTCTAATGTCAGCATGACAACGTAAGTGCTCTTAGCTCAGCCACGCTGCTTTCAGGTTAGCAGTGTGAAAAGTGTGTGACTTGGAAGGGAATACGCCATTTCTTTATTACTGGCCTTTGCAATAATTAGATTGCAAGATCTGTTGTCAAATTCTGTGATCTAAGAATAAAACGGCCATTATTCAATCATGTCAATATTTTTCCATTTAGGTGGTAAAAGAATCTCTTCTAAATGGTGGAGGTTTGTTTCTGTGCTGTGCAAAACTGAGGTGCTAAACTTGAAAGTAAACTACCTACTAATATAAGCAGGAAAGTAAAAATAAGGCACTGAATGTCTTATTCTCATTTCAGGTCCACAATACGAGCTTTGATCAAGAATTTTTCTATTGCTTCATTTTTTCCTGCGTTCATTACACTGCTGTTTTTCCAGCATAACAGAACAGCCTATGATATTGTAGCCGGGACTATTGTGGTAAGAAGAAACGGAGTCAGATGATACCAAAAGATGATATTTCCAGACTAGTTTTAAAGACCCCCTCCCACCCCCAGAACTGAATTTGAGGTGTCTGTGTCTTTTGCCCAAATGAAATAGGAACCGACCCAGAAGCTAAAGAAAATGTTTTGCTGCAGTATGATGCCAGCAGGTACCTTCAAAGTATTGGAGTTTCCATAAATGCCAAAGAAGTTTGGGAGAAACATCATGTATTAAATCTGGAAGTATTAACCTCCGATTGACGAGGAAAAAGGTGGCTGTATTGCAGGAAGGAGCTCTTCTGTTCGTCAGTCTGTGGAAGTACCTAGAAATACTCCACCTGAAAAGAAATGTTTTGGATGTTGGCAGGCGACTAGAAAATCAAGTTGTTTTCCAAGTAGTTGCCTAAGTCATCTGCGAAATGCTGGGGAGAAGAACTGCAGTACTGGACAGTAAGGCAAATGGTGTTAAATTGCCATGTGTGTTGAGAGACGAGCAGTGGTTATCACGTCCCTTATTATTACTGCTTCACAGATCATATTCCCTCACCTAAGTATTTTATCAGAACGTTGATAGGAAGTTTTATGCATGATTGTCTCACACATTGTCACTTATTTCACATGTCAAAGCTATAAAGAGGTGAAATAATAATAGCTGCTTTTTCTCCGGGAAAGGTTTGTTACACTGCAGCGTTAGTGAATTGGCATGTGTAAATAATTTTGGAGCTGTGAACAGCACAGATCATGCTAATGAAAGGAAACTTTTTTGCTTCTGTTTGGAGTGAAAGCACTTGTCTATCTCTGCATATAATACGAAGCAAAACCACTGAATGTGTTTCAGGAGCATGCGGAAAATATTACCTGAAATGTGTTATGGGTGTAAATCTACAGAAGTACAAATAATGGTTACTTTCATTTTACAGTTCTGGCTAATTGTATATTCAGAGTAACTTAAATATTAAATAAAGAAGCCTAATATTTTGCATGATTACATAGCTTTGATAATTTGTTTATTCTCATGTTATAAGTATCTTGAGAAAGGAATATGAGCAACAATTTTAATGTTTTATTAAAATTTGAGTAAGAGTTTGGAATTCTTCTAGAAGCCAGTTTTTGTGTGTTCTTCTGACTTTCCACTCAGGGGCTGAAGTTCTTGCCCTACCTTGTTTTGGACTGTGGTTTGGTTGACAATAGAAATGTCTGAGAGCACGGCTAGCTCTCTTGTCTTCACATGAAATAATTAATGTGTTCCTATTCTGCAGCATTTTAGTTTGACAAGTGGTGGTGGTCTGTGTATAAATACAATGTTTTGTGTATGTGTTCTGATCTTCAGTGACAGTGATGTTTCAGGACCAGCTCAGCTGCTTAATAGTGGGAGAATGACATTTTCCTATTAGTTACCTCTCCAGGATGAAGTCACTACCTTTTTAGATAATGACTCTTAGGAATGCAGTGTACCTACATCAAAATACCTCACTTTAAGGGTGACTGTTGTTTTACACTAATAATGTATTACCAAACAAAAAGACTTTAGCATCTTAAATGTACCATTAGCATCTCATGTTGTTACTGATGTGCATCACAAGATGGAAAATGTCTAAGCAATACATGGCAATAAGACTTGAATAAAGCACCCTTCTGAGACTTAGACCATGTGAAGTGAAGCTATTTAGATGAGAGAGAACCTCAGAGATGGCATTTACTGTTCTTTCAAAGAATTGCACTGTTGACTTACTTAAGCACTGAAGTTAGAAGTTCAGGCATGGACTAACTAAAGTCCCTTCTGGGGGAGTTCTCACTATTTACAATTTCAGTATGAATACAGAAAAACCCTTCTTGTTCTTTTTACTGTAGCACTGACCAAGAAAGTAGGCTTCAGGATGGTGGTAGGGGGTGGGAAACAACAGGGGAGGAAAGGGAAAAGCAGCATAGTTGGCTGAAACTTTATTGCTACTACTTCAGGTATAAGGGAAAGTATCTCTTACCCTGTAGGAAAATACCACCCCTTCCACAGCAGGGAAAGAAAAAAATTACAGTACAAGAACACAGAGCTTGTCCATGGAAATATGTATTCCTTATGCTGCTATAAATGCTAGCTTTTAGTTTGCCCCTCATGCAAGGTGCATTGAAGATGCAGCTTTTTGCTCTTTGTAGGATGAGTAGTTGGCAGGTAATAGGGCTACTAAGGAAAAAAGTAAAACTTTTGGCATTTTCCAGATTTAGACATCTAGAAACACATAATTACATATAATCCTTCCACAGCTACAGTGGCAGGATGTGACTAAGTAGCAGCTTACATGTGTGGTTTTCAACTCTAGTTGCTGAGTATTTTCTATTTGTAGAAACAGTAACTGGAGCTCTACACATGTAAGATTCCCACTGTAACAAAAATTGGCCCTTTCCTCAAGTCAGGTCTACTTCATGCTTAGGAGAGTATCTCATTTCATAACGCTGGCACCTATAGCTGTACAAGTGCTGAGCAGCATTGGGATGAAGGGCAGAAGTGCAAGCAAAAAACCCCAGCGACACAGCCCAAGACATGTAAAGCTTATGCAGCTTACACAGTTTTCAGTTCTAGCTGTAGCAAGCAACTGAATCTCAACCATAAACTGCATGCTGTGGCTTAACACAAGTTGAGCTGTGGTCCCCAGACAAAGTAGAGCATTTCCTCTTGTTTCACTAGAATAACATCTGCTCTCCAAGAAGCTCCTCTACCTACTACAGAAGTGGGGAAAAAAAACCAACCCAAATGACTCGTTTACAATTGGGTGTACTTCTTCCTCTTCAGTTAGAATGGTGGTGAATGTTTATAACATTAGTTTTGTTTGGGTTTTTTTTAAAATAGCTCTATAAAAATTTAAAGCAAACATTGCAGACAGAGCTGACACACTGACATACGGTTCCAAGGTTAAGTCTACGATAAAACTCTCCTTGTTAGCAGGGAACCTCTACCTAATGTAACAGCCTCTAAAATCAGGGTCACTGTCAAAGAGCAAATAGTGGAAAATAGAAAGCACGTTGCACCACTCAGGCCGAGTGCATCATCTTGGACAGTTACAGCTGCAGTTGCCTTCACGAAGAGTTAAAACGGCCAGACAGTATTTCATAGTTTTTATTGATGGCATTTATCCCATGGTTTAACATGTTAATTATACTGTAATAAACATGGCTTTAATATTAAACTTTTCCTTATTATCCAAAGTCACCACAGTCCATTTCAGTAAATATAAAAATATATACTTAATACTTTGTACAATACTGGTTTTTGGTCCAAACAAAAATGGATCAGAAAAGCCAATAAACTTACTTTAAGAATTCCCAATTTTAAAGATTTTCTAAATGGATTTAGGCAACTTTGAATAATGGGATTTACATAAAATCTGAGACAATACTAAACAAAATGGCTGTAACACACAAAATTAAAATTTCCATTTCACAGATCTGTTATGCCAAAAAAGTACATAGAGAAACAAAATTGTATTTACACATGTTTCATAATAAAATAACAAAGGCGAGACAGGTGATAAAGGGCTGTAAGAATGAAAATATAGAAATAGCGTATAATTATTAAATGAAGAACTACAGATCTAACAAGTCCTTAGCATGGATCATCCTTTAATCAGTCTTCCTCTATCAGAAAATTTTAGTGCACGATACACTCAAACTCACTCACTTCACACATACACCAGCACAAACTCAGCATAGAAATCATTCGTTATCAACATTCTCTACTCTATACAGCATCCCTCGCCGATATAATTACAATTTCGAGGCGTCAGTAAACGCAGATGAGCGCACATAGTGGTGCAGATGAGGAGGTATTGTACAAGCCATTCACTGTGCAGGCTCTGCTCACGGCTACAGCCAGACCATGCCGAGTCACTGAAAGAAGGAACTTGCTGGAGTCTAAAAGTTTTGCTTGAGAACGGCCCCGTTGCCAACGCTACTCATTACCAAAAGAATCTAACCGGGGAGAGGGGAGGGGAGGGAAGGGCAGCAGAGTTTTCTATTCCTTTAGGCAGATCTGACTTCAGCTAACCCAGCATGAGGTACGATCCCAACAGCTGAACAATGCAAGGTAGTAGCTGCTTCCAAAGCTGCTTTACCAACCGGGCGGTTATTTTCTACGTCTAACTGCAGTCTTTATCTTCCGACCAGGAACTGAAGATCCAGAGGCAGAGAAAACATTTTTCCCATTAGTCCTATCAAAAGAAATTAGTAGTTGAGAGTTTAGGACAGTGTAGCTGAAAATGCAGTAGCAGCACTGAGTAGATACTCCAACTCTTTCATAGTCTTGTCTCACTAGTTACCAGCTGGCAACACATGGCACATGATGAACAGGAGGAAGAGAGGTCCCGAAACCAAAAGCAATTACATCTCTCTCATTCAGAGGGAAAGCAGCAGCATAATGGCTAGATACGGGTTTTACCTTTCGAGAACAAGACCATTTCACATACGTTGCTGTGTGATATTTCTGACAACGGGGCTCCTTTACAGATACCGTTGCTTAGTTAGCCAGTCGGGCTAATACAAGGCAGGACGCTTAATCTAGTTTCAGACTCCAAGGTTCATCTGAACACCTCCTGATTTAACAGCAGCAGAGGCTGAACACTGTCCTCTGATATTACCCGAAGCTCAAGTGAAATTCTGATACGGTCTCTTACCCCACTGTGAATGCTGGAGGCTGGCTGAACGAAAATCCTGAAGAGCCAGAAGGCTGTGCCGGTGCTGCTGGTGCAGGAGGATTTGCACCAAAAGTAAACACTCCTGGGTTATTTGGAAAGTTGAAATTAGAAGTGTTACTTCCAAACTGGAATACTGAACCTGGGAAGATGGGGTAGAAGCAGAAGGGAGTAAGAAAGTTGCAATGTGAATTCATCCTTTCCAGCAAAATCCTCATGTTCTTCCCACTGTCTCTGATCAATTCTTTTCGCTCAAGACAACAAAGTTGGGGGTGGGGGGTGCAGCAGCGCCAGCTGACTACAGGGACGGTACACAGAAGAACTCACTTTAATAGAGGATCACAAAAAGATCCTCAAAGTAACGCTGCTGGCACACCAATAAGGAATTGTTTGCTAACTTCTGTACCGCCATTAAGTTCATACCTGTGCATACTGAAGTTTTTATTAATAAAAGTCTTAAATTATAGTATTGAATCATATAGATTTATATTCAAGTAAACTTCCTTGTGTTCATGCAGTTGATCTGGGGAACTCCCTTTCATTTCATGTGCTAACACAGCACCTCATCTTAAAAATAAAATAAAATTTCTACCATCAAAGTAAGTAATAAGCAACACAGACAATCCAGGGAGGTTCTTATCTTTACACTGCTCCCTGATTAACAAAAAGACGGACTGAGTAACATGGTTACTGAGGAGTACAAAAGTGTCAGTTACTTTTAATAGAGGCTATTTTGTAAAACTTCTGGGAGGAGAAAATGAGACATTTCCCTTTCAGTATTTGACATCATGATACCAAATACGTAAGTTCTGGCAGTGTGTTTTTCTTTTTTAATAATTACTAGTCTGGAAGAGGTGCTTCTTACACTTACGTTATAAGGATCATTCTCTGCCCACTTCCCATAGTATCTTATACTTCGTTAGTACAAAGAACTTAAAATAAAGTCTTAACCCATAAATGCTTAAAAATGTTTCTGACCATATTCTTATACAACAGGGCCCCCAATCCAGATAAACTGCCAAAGCCTGTTAATGAAGTCAGATAACTAAGAACAACTCTAACAATTCCAAAACTAATCATTTTGCAGGCTTCTGCCATTTGGGTTTGTACAATCTTACCAGTGAATGCTCCATGGGTTTCAACACTTCCTTTTAATCACTACATTTCTCAAGAAATAAGCCCCAGTATTTAGTGGCAGTGCTGCAACCTCCGTGTCTGCTAAGTCTCCTGTGGAGAAGGCTCCCCACCTACAGCACATCCTCCACACTCAGGAGCGAGACACAAATTACTTAATTAACTCTGTACCCATTATTTTTATGAAGCCGTCTTTCTCCATATAACTTCATGAAAAATAAAATATAATCTATAGTCTCTGAGACCAAGAGGGAAGAGGAGGATCAGCACTCACCAGTGCTGGGGGTACCAGAGCCAAATCCTGGCTGCTGGCTCGCTTGCTGTCCAAACACAGAGGGCTGTGTGCTGCTCGTCACTGAGCCGAAGGCAGGGGGAGCAGGCTGAGCGCCAGCTGAAAACAACGGTGTCGACAGCGACCCAAAACTTGGCTGGCTGGACCCTTGGCTCTGGCCAAAAGCTGGTAGCTGGCTGGTGCCAAATGCTGTGCCGGCAGCAGGTGCTGGAGGCCCACAGCCAAACAGAAATGAAGAGGACGACCCTTGGGGGACAGAAGAGCAACGTCAGTATATGCTGGTTTGTTCTTTTTCCTTGCCCGAGAATGAATCTGGAAACAAAGGTTCTAAAACCACTTGTTTCCCAAGTCTGGTAGCTTTAATTTCAAACTAATTGCGTGAGTACATAAAACAAATATTATGTCAGCCATAATGGGAGTTGCACCTTTTCTTGTAAGTAACATGAGAAACACCAAGTTTATGAGGGTCAGGCAAAATTAAATTGTAAACACATTGGTTGTCTAGACTCAAATTACTGTGTTAACGTTCATATTCTGCAAAAAGGCTCCCACAAATGGCATTTTGTATTTACTAACAGCTGTTTGTATCACACATGGAGAATATTCATTCAGATCATATTTTTCTAACATGCAAAAGACAGCTCCTGATTTATTAAGATCAGGAGAACATGAATCTTTCTTGTCAGCAATTGCACCCCTCCCTGCCCAAGTGTTTACCATTACCAACTTCTGGAGGCCAAACCAAGCTTGCAGTGATCTCTCTGTACTCAAAAACTTGGTTCAGCGCAGACTAATCCTGTACGTAACATCAACAGACAACCAGCACGTTTGTTTGGCTGCTTTGGCTCTGCGTGGCCAGCAGAAATAATTGAAAGAACAATACATGACGGAACAGCGACTCTGCACGCACGCAGCAGATCTGCGCAGAAGGGGACATTTTGAACAGCGCTATTAATGCAGTTTAAGCCGCCTTCACGCAACAGAGTATGCCCTCGACTGCACCACAACTTGGAACGCCCGGCTGTTTCTCTTTCCAAGACGATAAACAGGTACACGGTAAAAGTTAATACAGGCTTCTGCGTAAAAACCAACCAACCAACCAACCAACCAAAAACCTTTGTGAAGAGGTTTAAAATATGGTACTGCCTACTAATGCAGTACCAAAGACTCCCAAAGTTACTGATTTGTAAGCATGTTAAATTGATCTGCTGGTTGTTATAATTTAGGACTGTTTTCTCTCTTTCTGATACACAAGAACAGTGTGCAAGTTTAATTTCTGTGATGGACAAGGTTAAGCAATCAGATCCAACTAGATGACGTCTCTTCCTCACAGGTTCAATCTTATTTCCAACATGCTGCTAGGCAAGCAGGAATACAGATGATTTGGTGCATTTAGTCTTGTGTCATACTGCTAAATTCATGCAGTGGGGCAACCAACATAAAACATGAATAAATGAGATCCTTATCTCTGTCTTCTCTAAATTTCTGGAAAATCAACAAACACTGGCTATAATGCTTACTAGAAACCAATCCTTAAGCAGCAGCAATTAAACACAGAGGTACTGTGTTTATATGTACTTGTGAAGGAATGATTTTGCCAGTCTTGACATCATTTACAACAGTTGAGAGTTTTAGGTATGGGACAGAAAAATTAGGAAAGTTGTAATCCATTTTCTAACCATAAGCACTGGACTGATAGTGAGAAGAAAGACATTATCAATTCTCATGGTAAAAAATTCCTACACAAACTGAAATCCAGTAAAGGATTGTCCTTTGCATAAAACAACACTGCTGCCAGTTCATTTGTAAACTGTATTTCCCAGACTGTGAGAAACTGAGCCCCATTTACATTGTTCAATAGAAATACTCAATGCCTTTTTCTACTTCCATGCATTTGGCCTACACGTTCTCCAGAGTATGATGTTCACGAAACAGTGAACGATATTCAGTCCACTATGTAATGGCACAAATGAGAAGAACATCTATTTAAAATGTACCTGTTGAACTCGAGGTGGTTGTGGCTCCAAAGGAAAAGCCTGAATTTGCTGCATTGGTGCTGCTGGCTCCCGAACCAAAGAGAAACGCGGCAACTGTCGAACCAGTGCTGGAAGATGTGGTTGCTGGTTTGTTTTCTTGAGAAAAGCCAAATGATTGAGATGCTGCAGGTTCTGCCGAATTGCCAAAAACAGAGCTGCTCACAGTGTTGCTGGGTTGTCCAAACACGAAGGGAGCGGGAACCGGCTGAGGATTTGAGGAAGAGATGGCGCTGCCAAACACGCTGCTGCTGTTGGCTGAAGTGGTGGGTACAACTGTGCTGGAGGAACTGGAGCTCAGGAAGCCGAAGGATGGCTTTGCTGCTGCTCCTTGATCTGAAAGGAAGAGCAGTCATAAACCAACCACTGCAGAAATGCCCAGTCAAGTACAGAATCACAGAATCGCTCGGCTGGAAAAG